ATCAAAACACTCTCTTCACTCGTTGACTGACTGACGGTATTTAGTACTCACATGCAATTTCCATTGTATGCAAATTGGCAGATTGGATGGTTGGTTCGTTATTATTCATGTTACAGGCAGTGGATAACGGATGGATTCGGATTCCAAACAAGATTGCTTTATTTTATCTACATATCTTTCCATTTCAACAATAAATTGCCTTTAACGATACTTCTGGTTGAGTTCTTATTTTAAAGGCGACCTTACTTTATCATGCACCTCCAAACCCTTCAAATTTGCAATTTTCTCATCTTAGACCACCAAAAAGCAAATGAAAAAAGCGTAAGGACGAAGTAAGCCTCTAATGATCAAACAAATAGTAGTGACTGCTGAATCGTGCTAGCGATGATTGTGCGTCATTTCTGCCATCCCACATCAATTTCTCCAGAAAGTAAAAGAGGGGGTTTTTTTTTTTTTTTTTTTTCCATTTGTGTGTGTGTAAGTTTTGGGTTGGGGGGGGGGGTGGTTTTGGGGGTGATCCACCCTTATGCAGTTGTGACTTGTGAATATTACCATTTGTCCTTATATTACTCCCTCCTTTTTTTTTATAACTGACGTTTAAGAAATTTGCTCTAGTGTACTTTTATCTGTCGTTTTATTATCCCCATACAATATTAATTATTTTTTCACAAATTTACCCTTTTATTTTTCTTTTCCAATACAGGGTTCTTAATTACTATTCTAGTTTGGTGGGAGTTGTTTGCATTGCTTTTGGCCTAGTAAAACAGCACCATTTAGTATTCTAGTGAGAGAAAACATGGGTGAATTGAACAATTAATGAGGGTACAAAAGGAAAGTAGTGTACAGATTTAAACAATGAAAAATTTTTCTTAATTGATGTGCAAAACCTTAAACGTCAGTTATAAAAAAAGGGAGGGAGTATATCCTATCAAATGCTTTCAGAGTACTAATTCCTATCCAAACACACCCTTATATACCCAAATGCTGTCAAATGATCCAAACACCTATCAAGTTATCCGCCTTAGCATGGATGGGTGATATAAATCAAATTGTATTGAATAATTTTCAATAATTTGACTTTTATCCGAGTGAAAAAAAAAGGTTGCCGGCCTTAATGCAAGTAGTCAAGTCAAGAATATCACATCCAAGGCGAAGTTTGGATAAATTGTAATCTACAAAACTTACTGTAAAGTTATAAACTGAGCTGGCGAATGCAGATTGAGAGAGAATTGCTGACCCCGGCCGCGGCGCAAACACAATTGTGATGTCATTTAACAGCACATCCGACTGTCCCCACTGCCACAAACCGGTCTACGCATGCATCATTTATTAAGGTCCAAGGATGCTGCATTATTATTACTCCATTCATTAGGTAATTAATATCCAACGCAAAGCTTCTTTTCTTTTCTTTTCTATAATGTAAATAGAAAGAATCGAAATTCCAACCTCTCACGCTCGTTCCCAAACTACCTGATTCATCCCTACCACAAACCTAAAGCTTGATTAATGTCTTGTGAGACGGCTTTCAGATTCCCAATATTATTATATTTTGTAGCTGCATTCATGACTAAATATAATACTAGTATACTACTACAAAGAAACCGTTCCAGCATTTACAATATATCGTCTCCGTTTGAATTAGTTTTTTTTTTAATTTTTTTAAAAAATTTTACTGTAACAATATATATGAAAAATTTTTATAATTTGACATACACGATATATTATATGGATGATATATTTTTTAAATTATTATGTATTACTGTAACATTGTATTTGAAAAACGATTAATCTAAACGGAGCAATATACGTAGAGTATTGGCAATTACCTCTTCTGTATCCTAAGTTCTTCCTCGGCCCTCGTTAGAACCCCTCAGTTTCATTATTGTACTGAAAATGAAAAGGCAAAAAAGACTAAACATGAACTAGAAACAAAATGCTTCTTCTTCTTTTTTTTTCCCCCTTCCTTCTGTGGTTGTGGTAATTAGAAGTGAGGTGGACTATCGACTCTCAACAAACAAGTATGTGCACATCTCCACAGCCATGGTTATGGGGACACCAAAGAAACATAGCCCCAACCCAAACACATGGGTTGACTTGACCACAGCCTTTTGATTTTATATTCACAATCTATCGTACACATGAATCTCCATTTGATTTGGCATTGAAGCGGTAGACAGATGAGCAGATGTAAAACCTATGGGGTCAGCTTAAGGAGGAAAATTTGGGTTCAATTAAAGTCAGCTGTGTTTGGATTGCATTTTCCGTCATTTTTTATGAAAAAATTACTGTAGCGATTTGATATATGTAAGGGAAAAATGTGATAGAAAAATGTGATCACGAAAAACGACAATATTTTCCGACGAAAACAAGCAATCCAAACAAAGCGCCAACTAGCATGAATAAACTGGTCCTAATTTCACCTTCACTTTCCTTCTCATTCGTATTTGCCACATTTATACTATTGATTGATGACGATACAAGCCCCTGAACTCACTTCCATTTTGGGAACATCATCTGCTCTTATATTAAGTTGGATTAAGAAGAATCATGTGAATTCAATTCACCACAAATCATGTATAATTGACAGCATGAAAAGGAAACCTAAAAGGGGGGGAAAAGGTGCTCTTTAGGGGTCCCTAATGAGTCATGATCACGAGTGAAGGAAGGAAGGAAGGAAGAAATCAACATCTAACGTAATAATAATTATGATTCCGGTGATTAGCAATTAATCGCTTTTGACAAGCCAATGGACTTTGCTAAACAAGCCAGGCGTCGTTTTTTGATCAGTGATCCAGAGTTCTGTTGGATGGCGACTTGCCTTTCGTTTCTGTAAAGGGTGGGTAGCACGAAGAAAATGGAGCCTTTTCAGTTTCCACGATACAAACCATTTATTTACTCCTTCCGTCCCACTTTGTTAGTCTTGTTTTCTTTTTTCGTCCGTCCCAAATTATAGTACACTTTCCCATTAAAAAATGTAGTAATCTTTCAAATTGTCTAAAATACCCTTATTAAATATCTTGTTATTAATACATTGTTATTAAATACTAACCCACTACATTGAATACATTGAGTTTTTCCAATACATTAAATACATTGACTGCATTGATTAGCATAAGGGTATTTTAGGAAATTATTAATCTAAATTTATGTTTTCAACCAAATTAATTACACTTTCTTAATCTGTGTGAAAAAAAAACCAAGACTAAGAAAACGGGACGGAGGGAGTATTTTTTATTACTTGTTGATAGTTGTTACCGAACGCCTGAACAGTAAATAATATGAGTAAATCTTATATACACTGATAGTGTATACACTGTCACGGTTAGATCCATGACACATATGCAATTTGGATTATATATCGTGTATCCAATGATAAAAGTGTATACACTGTCTCTGTATAGAAGATTAATCCAAACAATATAACACAACACAACTACCGTCATCGTTCTAAAGTGCAAATCAAGTTATAGAGGAGTTTGTTGATCTCCCGATCCCAATCTCGTTTATAGTAGTAAAAATTTCCGCGAAATTAACGCGGTGAAAATAAAGAAGAGAAACGCAACACAACCATCGTTATAAGTCGAATTGATTGCCCACATGCACAACGTCAAGAAGCTGCCGATAATCATCAGATAATAATAAAGCGAATACCGTCAAACAGGACCCCCTCAGGGCTTTGCCAGATGCCAGATGATGAATTTTGTTCAAAGAGACCAGCTTTGAAAAGTGAATGCCGTCCACAGGACCCTTAGCCAGATGATGAATTTTGTTTAAAGAGACAATAATCTTAATGGGCCATGAAGATGCATGGCCAAATTGTAATCGTGACAGCATACGAATCAATTGATCGGACATACCATCCACCACCACCACCACCACCACATGGGAGGACGATTACGGTCACACACACACACACACACTACTCAGTAGAGTAGTGTGTGTAAAGTGTAAACACCCTCAATAATAATAATGATGCAGCCAGCCAGGAAGAAATTTTGTTGGCACGAACGAAACTGGTGGAAAACATGAGAGGTTTGCGCCGGCAGTTGCAGGTGGGTGTTGTGTTAATACTTAATGCAGCGGGTGGCTAAAATTTGGGATGGCTCCGCAGGTCGCGTTCGCGTCCCTACCATTATAATTAATCACTAAAAAATGTGCCAATCTGCCAGACTGCAACGCATATCATAGCACATATGGTTGTTGATTCATCAATTTCAATTGAATTCGCCATCATCAAGGTGGGTGGTCCATGCAAAAATGTGTCTACTTCTATAATATGTATGTATATATATTCTATCCAGATTGAGCAGAGCCGGCAAAAGCAGCGCTGAATTAACTCATTCATGCCTCCTTGCTAGCACCTGATGCGGACGAGTCAACTTTATGAAACTTCCGCATCTCTTTGGAGTACTTTCTAGTCCGGTTTGCTAAACAAAAGTACAACAGATGTATGATTTCGGGAGTCCATTCGGTACAAAAGTTTGCCAATGCCATCACCACTGACACAAATTTTGGTATTTATAACATAGTGAGTGCACGCACCTTGAGGTTGGTTCGAATGGACTCGGGGCAATCTAGTTAGGTCATGAGGTTCCGTGTTTGAATCACCTCTCTACCGCTTCCGCTTGTATCTCTCTATCGTTTTCGCTTGTATATCCTTAGGGGCAGAAGCAGGGAGACTAGTCTGGCAAAACTGGAATATTTCTTGTATTGAAAATAAATAAATAAAAAAAAAAACAGAGTGAGTGCACCCGGAACTCGAACCCTTCCATGCTTTTTTGTTATCTTAGGAAAAAAAAAGAAGGAAAGAAAAGGAATGATTCGGCCTGACTTCTTTGGGCTGGCGTAAAGAAATTCTTACGGCCTAAGTGCAACAAGTTGAATTGGTATTTAGATCCATCAAAAAAATTAGGCCTGAATGATTTGGACTCACATTAGAAATTGACTCTTAACGATAAACGATTTCCACTGATATATGATTTGAATGATAAAACCATAAATCAAATAAAATAACCACTCTATCACTCGACAAGCAAATACTCCAATTAAATAGATCTTCCATTGTGCCCATGCTCATGCTTGATAGTTCAAGAATGGCTGGTGTCGTTTGAATCAAGGGCAAATCTTACAATTAATTTAAGGTACGAGTTTGGCCAGCTTAACAATGAATGAACAAATGAATTTTGGAGAAACAAATCCCAAGATGGATGTGACAAAGCACGCGCTAGTCTTTTTTTACCAACACAGACTAGCAATTGACTCAGGTTCCCCAAAAGGAGTTGTCGGCCGTTTCCTTCAAAATCAACAAATTTCATCTGTACTGATGCAGCTTGTACTCGAGATGAAGATCTGGTCTCCACCATTGGTGAATTCCATGAGCTTGCTTAAAATCCTGACAAGGGCCGAGATTAGTCGTTACATATGCAGAAGGAAGGAGATGACACGCTTCGCTCTTGTTCCCCCTAGCCGTGGATATGATACTCGCAATGGAGTTCTGTGCTGCAATCCTTCCAATTTTGCCACCGGCAATTGTCATCATCTTCTCCCTGTGTGTAAAATACCCAAGATATTCGGAGCAAATAGGATCAGATGCATTGACAAACAAGTACGGTATCCAAGCAGACAAAACACGAAATTCATCGTCCTGATGTGGCTTTTGGCTGTTAAGCTTCACTGCAGCTGCAAGCCCAGCAGTGATGACACTCACTGCAATGCGGGCGCCATGCTTCAACTTCTCATTCTTTATCTTTTCGAGTGGAAGAGAAGCGAAAGGTGGATTGAACAGGTATGTTTCAAGATGATAACCCAACTTAACCATATTCCTTCCAACAAGTAACGCTATTGCTGAGCCCAAAGAGTGACCAGCTAACCAGATACTGGCACCTCCAGCTTTAGAAACAATATTCTGAACGGCTTGCAACCCAAGGTGGAAACGGGAGCTGTGCTGAAGTTTGTTTTTCATGAACTGGAGATCCAACTTGAGATCCTGTGACCTGCTGCCTGGTTTAGTGATTGTGCCTCTGAAAGCAACGACGTATCTGGGAGGAGTTTGAGCCAAATAGTTGCAAGAGGAATGAGATAGTCTCAGTTCGTAAATGGAGCCAAAGAACGACAGATCATCAGGATCCACAAGCACATGGACTAGCTGGAAATTAAAGAATTCCCACCAAGGAGAAGCAAGAGCATTTGCGCTTTGCCGGTTCTCCTGCCGATCACGTTCAAGAATGTAGACACCCTGAACCAAGCTAGCCGCAATGGACCTCCTATGATGGGCATTTGTCCTGCAAGACATCAAATTGTATTCTCAGGGACAATTGACTGCACAAAGAGCAGATAACGTAAGACTCTGAACTCATCCACCCTAGACAGAAAATCATTTCGTGAGTTGTACAACTCACAAAATTTTCTTGCTTCTGATCATGAGATATATAGAAGGCTATTAGTTGGCAGAAAAGCAGATCCTTGAATACCGACAACAACGCATCCTAATGGTTGATATTTGAAAGGTTAATCATCTTCCAAATGATTGCTGGTTCTTAAAGATCCTATTAGAACTATATCCAGTCCAGCCATAGAAAAGTTGCGCGCATCATTTGAGTTTGAACTCATGGTTAAACGAACAAATTATTAACAAGGATGGCCATACCAATCGATCACAGTTAACTTCAGTGGTCCTGAAAGACTAAAAATCTCCCTGTCAGAGGCCATTAGTTGAAACTGCCCCTTCCTTCTTTTCCTCCTGATGTTCTGGGATATGACTCTGCTAAAATGTGAAAAGGGGGAAGAAGAAAAGAGAAAGAAAGTGAATATACCAGCTGCATAATTCAGAAAGGTTCGTATTACAGTCTTCTTGTCATGCTTCACAGGCTTTAGACAAATTAAGTATCACGGGAAATTGAAAGATGTTTTAACTACCTCACCCAAAAATCTATTGAATGAATTTCATTCGTCCACAAAATCCAACTTAAAAAACAGTAGTCTTATCCCCGCTAATATTATTAGGTCAGCTATAATAATCGCATCTGTTGGCCCTCTAGCACTTCATATGTCCCTTTTCCGTTTTCAAAGCTCCTCATATCGTGAGTTCATAACAATCATCTTTCCGCAGTTAAATTAAGAAATCAATAAACATCGTAGCAGAAATACAAAAGTAAATAGTAACAAGCACGTACCAGGTAACATTAGAATCGATGGCGTAGCATTCGATAAAGTGATAAACGAAACAAAACTCTCTAATTAGTTTTAAAAACTTGAGAAAAAATATGTGAAGATCAATCCAATTACCACAGGTCAACTCAAAGTCTCTGCTTACAGTTGGTTGATTGACGCTGGCAAAGTCGTTTCCGAGGAGGTGCATATAATACCTACAAACAACCAATGTAGGTAGGTTTTGTGTGGGAAAGAGAGATACTGATAAGCGATAGGTGCTTCAAGACATTTTCATGGAAGCCGGAAGGGAATTAGACACGGGGAAGAGCAGGAAGGAGAAGAAAGGTAGACAATAACCAATGTTGGCGTTATATTTTAAGAGGACGATCAAAAGTCAATGCGTCTAACCAGCAACTCTCGAATTCGAATAGTTGGCACCAAAATAGTTTTAATTTTTTAGATGCGCGTAGGTTGAGAGGTCAAATTTTCTTATCTATATTTTAAAATTTAAGGTCCCGTTTGGATTATATTTTTCGTCGTTTTTTATGGAAAAATTACTGTAGCGATTTAATGTATGTGAGAAAAAAATGTAATAGGAAAATGTGATCACGAAAAATAACATAATTTTTCGGCGAAAAACCGCAATCCAAACAAGGCCTAAGCTTTTCAGCAGATGCGTAGACATCGTTTGGATTACGCACCTGTTAGATCGATAGTGATTTAATTTCCTCCGAATTATTCATAGAGCTCTTCGGGTCCTCCTTCTCCTTAATATAAAGTAATGTATGTTTATCTTGTTTGACAAAAAAAACACAAAATCAAAGTTCAATGTAGCGCATCCATTTGGTCCGATAACAGTACATTTCTCCCAAATTGTTTATGGGCATTTCCTGCCCCCTTCCTTTTGCATAGGATAGTGTAAGTCTATCAATAAAAAATCAAATAAAATCAAAAGTCAATATGCGTCTGCAGTTTGGGAAACTTGCAGAGGCGGAAAGCGACTAGAGCGACCTTTCTGAGATCCATCCATCAGCCAAGTTGTACATTCTTTTATATTTCTACTCCTCCTCCGTCCATGATGGATCTATCCTATATGTAGATATTGGATCCTATAATCGAAGTTTGGATTCTAGGCTGCAATTAATGGTAAGAATGAATTTAATTTAAAATTGGATGAATTAAATTGATCATAGGACATGGTTTTAAAAAAAAATCAAAATTTATTGAAATTGGAAAGTGTTATTGTCATTATGTGTACAGTTATTGTATTAGCGTATACATTGTAGTACCATAAAATTGGGACGGACAATTGGAAAAAATAAACTTGTTTTAAAAATATACACAATTATCTACACATATTGAGATGTGAGGATTCGAAGTTAGTACCTGGAAGCTAAATGGCGGCCCTCAAAACCTCTACAATTTATTTGCTGATTTTAAGAATAAAGATGTGATTATTAATAAGAATATACGCTTATTTTTTTTGATAATAAAACATATTTCATTAGCGGATGACTGGAAATCGTCCAAAACAATTGATATACACATTGCTGTTCTAATGGCCGATAACACATGCACTAAAATTGTAGATCTGTAATTTAACAAATACATAAGACCTGGAAAATTACGAACAGATCTAAAAAATATCATAAATTTTAAAATCATTCCATCGTATAATAAATCGCTGCAGCACACTCTGTGCATGTTGCAATCATCAGATCTACTAATCAACGGTTGCAAGCTCTAATAAAGATGATGAGATCTGCCGAAATAGACTCAAATATGAAATAAATTCAGATATGTCCATAGATATTTGTGTATGTCTGTTCCCTCAGATTTACTGTCAAGCCGGTTCAATTTTAAAACTGATGTTGAGATCTGTCATGATATGTAATGCAACCAATAATGGTGTCATGCTACAAACATTACAAGATTACGGTGACTTAATTATTAAAGACCAAGTTTGGGACCCGTCAACGTATGGTGCGTCGGTGACACTAATGAATTACAGTACCTATTATTCCTCGATAGCCACAATAAAAAGTTTGGTAGGAAAGAATGGGTCGAATATTATAAGGGTTAAAGTGTAACTAATGAGTTTGAAGATTCGAATCCTTGCATTTGTGTTAAAAAAAGAAACTAAAAAGTTCAGTGAATTGTTTCGATAGACATGATTTTAGCACTCCAAAATAAGTTTCACAGAATTTGGTATTTATTTTGTGAACTGGATTAAATGGCTAATATATCCACGTAATAATTTAAAGTTACAATACTGCCTTCTATATTGAAAACTTTAGATTGGTTTTTTATTTTATAATACCTTTAAATATATTATAAATTGATGCATGCATTATTAAGACCTATGAAGGAACATTCTTTTGGACTTTCCAAAAAGTAACGTATTCCAAAATATATATATATATATATTTCCTATCTTACAAAGTATTTTTTTAAAATTATAAATGTAAATAATCAAAAACTTCTCTTTCATAAATTTTATTTGTTAATTAGTGTACACTGAACATTCATTTTGTCTATTTCTTTTAATTTTTTGAACAATAGGAATCCAAAGAGGTTAATTAAAGTTAAATTATTCGTAAACGTGACTATGCATTTAAGTTGTAAAAAAGGAATCTAAACTATGGGTAATTGTATCAGTTTGAACAATATAAGAGAAAGAGATAAGTTTTTAAAATAAATTGTTAGCCGGTAGCAAGTTTCTTTTTGTTTATCAAACAATTTGGAAAAGTAAACTACATGGTCAAGAAGCGGTGTTGGGTACTATTTACAATCAGTTTTTATAAGTTTTCGATTAGTTTTTGGTCGGAATTTACCACGTACCTGGCACGCGATCATATTTTAAGGGCAAAATTGTCAATTCATATTTTATATAATTCAATTCATAATCTCTCACATTTCATAAAATAAATTTTTTCGTCCCTTACATTTCACAAAATGAATTTTTTCATTATTCACATTTTTCAAAATGAATTTTTTCATCTTTTATTGATCACGTGTGTGATAATTTTTTTAAATCAATGTATATATTTATTTGATTTCACCTGAACAGTACAAATAACATGTGAAATCAAATAGAGATATATTATATACTATTCGTACTGCTCAAGTGAAATCAAATACATATGTTCATGGATTTAAAAAAATTGTTAACTTTTCACTTATATTCATTTTCTTTTACTCGAAATTTAAAAATAAAGAAGACTTTGAATCATAAATATTATCGAGTGTTTATATCAAATTAAATTTGGACAGAAAAAATAAACAAAAGAAAAGTATGACAAAAAAAAATGTTTGACACTTTCAATTTTTAAAACAATTACAAGACAATTAATTCAACTGTTAGTTTTAAAAGTATCAAGTAGAAATTTTAGATTTAAACTAAAATTTGTTAACACAATTATAGAATTCGAGTTAGGATCCATTAATTAGATGACCTTAATATACAACTCAATAAATAAATTATTATCAAAAGAGAAAGGTCACAAATATTAAATAGGTTCAAATGGTGAAATCATATAAATATATACATGGGTTTCAAACAAAATCATTAGTTTAAACCTCTATATATGTTTATAGAATAGTATGTGTATAACTACGATTAGCATGTTTAGATGAAATCAAACAGAGATAAATTACATAATATTTGTTCTGTTCAGCTAAAATCAAATAAACACATACGTGGGTTTATAGAAAAAAAGTTATTCATACACATGATTAATGAGGGATGAAAAAATTCACTTTGAAAAATATGAGAGATAGAAAAATTCATTTTTTGAAATGTGAAGAACGAAAAAATTCATTTTGTAAAATGTTAAGGGCGAAAAAATTCATTTTGTGAAATGTGAGGAATTATGAATCAAATTATGTAAAAATTTGATTTGATAATTTTGCCCTTAAAAAGTAATCACATGCAAGTTATCCTGTGGATTTCGACAAAAAATTAGTCGAAAACTTAGGTAGGACCAAATTTGGTTAATGTGAATTTATAAAGCACGTAAAATTAGGTTGTGTTTGGATTGCATTTTCCGTCATTTTTCATAGAAAAATTACTGTAGTGATTTGATATATGTGAGGAAAAAATGACAATATTTTTCGATGAAAATAAACAATCCAAACAAGGCCTTACACTTTTGAAAGCGAGAGACGAAAAACGTCATTTTGTAAGATACGATGGACGTTTTGAACGATTTTTCCCGTTTTATATACAACAAAATGATTATAGGAAAGCCGCAAATGGAGTGGAGGGCACGTCTTTAAATCTGAAACTTCTCGAGGACGTTTTTACAAATAAAGGTGTTCTGGAATTCTCGAATGGGTGGACTGTAGAGAGCGTTTTCTTTAACTCTTCAGCTGAGCTAAGTCATTCTCCGCTTAAAATCCAAAACCCACCGAAATCTCATAAACCCTAACATCAGCTTCAACAAATATTCAATCGATCAAATGGCGATACTCTCCGATTACGAAGAAGAAGATCAACAGAAGCCGATATCTTCTTCATCATCGGTAAAGCCTTTTAACGCCGTTCTTGATCCGTCAAATCCGTTGGGGTTTCTGGAGGCGGCGTTGGAGTTCTTGGCGAAGGAGTCCGATCTTTTCAAGAGCGATTCTTTGGTGAAAGATGTGAACGCGGTGGTGCGTCAGGTGAAGGATAAGGTGGAGGCCGAGGAGAGGAAGAGGAAAGAAAAGGCGGCTCCAGTTAATGGTAATGCTGAAAAGAAAATCAAGGAAGACATGCCTCAGGCGGTGGTTAAGGAAGAAGTCAAGGACGTGGAAGTGGAGAGTAAGATGATTAGCGAGGCCAAGGAGGACGCAAAAGATGATGACAAGGGACCTCGAGGTATTTCTTTTTCTTTTCTTTTCTTTTTTTTTGGGGGTCATCATCACTCCAGTTGAGATCTCTCGATAAACTGATTGGTCTAAAGTGCTATTCCTTCTGTGTAATTTTGGTTGCTTGTTAATATATGGTATATAAAGTTTGATGCAGCCTTTGCTTGG